TCGTGTCCGCTGTGGCTCGTGGGGTTTGCTTGTCTGCGGGGAGACCAGTGATGACTAAATGGCTCTGTGGGGGACCTGGTGGTGCATGAAAAATCCCGCTCCCTTTTGTCAGAAGAGACATTTAAGAGGCTGGAGAAGGAACACAGCGCGAATGAGAAAGGACAGCCAAGTGCCACAAAACTAGAGCCAGTAGGTGGGAAACTAGTGATTTCTATACGCAACACTCCCAACTCCTCTGTTTTGCACCTTTGGCATCTTCTGGCGTTTTGCTCCGTAGTCTCCTGGCGGCGCAGCCCAGCCCTCGTGGTTGCGGAGGACTGTCGAGCATGATATGGCACGCGGGAGCGTTTTGGCTCCTGGGTTTGATGGCTCAGATTGGCTCACCAGGCAAGGTGCAGGATAAAACATCCCCTGGAACGTGGTTGTTTGCGTTGTCTGGAGCCTGCTGATCCTCCAGCCGCCTTGGCCGGTTGTGGGCAGGACCTTTGGTATCAAACCAGCCAGAAAACAAAACTGCTGCCTCCTCCCATGCATACCAGCCTCTGTCTTTAGTTAGCTTGCAGCATGCTGAGTATGTATATACGTGTGCGTAGGCAAATGCATCCATAGTGGCTGTAAACTACAGGCATTTCAGGTCACTCGGTAAGGGCAGCAATGTTGACAGACTTTCTTGTTTCGCTTTCTGACAGCCAGAATAAAACGTTGTAGTTCTTTGTTGGGACGTGCCTGATGGCAGAGATAACCTCATCTGTGCTATGGATGAGGAAGTTGCCTCTGGCTCCTTTTAAAAGAACAGCTTTGGGACTGGAGCTCACTCTGGGATGCCAGATGGCCTGCGTTGTCTGGATGCGTTTAGCCCACAGACGTTGCGAGTGGGAGTGCTTAAAATGTCCCACGTGAGACAGCTCCGTGCTGGTGCTCGGAGTTTGTGTGGTTGTTGGGCGCAGCATTAAACGATGAACCAAAAGACCTGAGCTCTGTTGCTGATCTGGTATTTGATTTGATTTTTTTTTTTTTGCGGGGAGGGGGTTGTCGCTTTCTTAAAAATGAGCAGTGAAGGTCTGGTAGCGGTCCTGCCCAAGTTTCCCTTTCTAGCAGGATGTGTGCGTGGCTGAAGTAACGCTCCTCCTTCCTGTTCCCTTTAGGATGTTAAAGATGGCAAGATCTACAACGAGCAGAACTTTTTCCAGCGAGCTGCGAAGGCAGGCACAGGTTGGTGCTTCTTGGGAGGGCAGGGACTGGGCTGCTCGCTAGGAAAACTGGCATCCCTCTTTCATCAGTTATGTGGGTCTCGGAAGGCCGGGCTAGAAGAAACTAATTCACTGCTTGGTTAGTGCCAGAGTGCTGAGAAGTTCAGCCAAGAGCCAGCTCTCCCAGAAGTCTCTGTGTACCTTAGGGCACCGCAGAATTGGCGTTTTGAAGCTTTTCTTGCCCTACCCATGCTTTGTCTTGATCTCCCTGGTAGGTGTTCAGCCATGCAGCCTTGACCTGACTTGGCTCCATCTCCTGTGCCCCTTCCATGGGCCCTTCTCTCAGCTGCTGCCTGGTATTTACTCCATTGACCCAAAAACCTGAGCAAGAGCAATGCTGACTGGACAACACAGGCAGGTGTTTGAGCAGGGGTGATGGAGGAATTCATGTCAAACCTGCACTCCTGGGAGGACCGTAAAGATCTGCTTCCCCATCCCTCACTCTCCCCCCACTTCTCGTTTGACCTAGCCGTACAGCAATGACATGGCCTCGCCTGCTCCGGTATTCCCAGCGTCCTTTCTGTCTTATTCTTGCGCTGCAGTGCTATGTGCATTGACATGCCGATACCCCAGCATGTGAAACTGGCGTTTCTGGGACAGAGTTGGTACGAGAGAGGCTTCCAGCTGTCAGCTGCCCAGGGGCAGAGCAGGCCTTCGGAGAAAGGGCATCCCTGGCTGAGCTCCTTCATTCTAGAGCTCCTTAGCAGCATCTCCCACACTCTGTCCTCTTCTCTCCCCTTCTAGTGGAGAAGTGGAAGAAGTGGCACTCCGTGCCACTGCTGGGAATCCCCAGTTGCGTTGGCTTTGGACTGCATGCAGATAGCTACAGGTGAGGTGACTCTGCGAAGGGCACAGCTGAGCTCTTTTGTCCACAACTGCTGTCGTCTTGGGCTTTCTCCCTTCCTTCCTTGCTGCTTGCTGTTCCTTTTCTCATTGTGCCCTGGACTCCTAACCTGATGCACTGCTCCTATCTCATTTATTAATGAATGATTTGCCCCTCTCTTTATCCTGTTTCCTTCAGTCCTTGTGTTGCTGGTGAAGCCATTGCTTTTGCTGCTTCTGCACCTCAGGCCAGGGGACACCTCATTCCTGCCTTTACTGTTAACGTTATCTGCTACAGACTCAGACTGTGCATCTGCAACACATGATCAGCATGTCTCTCCTTTTCAAGGACTTTTCTGTTAACAAAAGCAGAGAAAATGTTTGCCCAGGTCAACTTGGAGTTGAAGGGAGGGCTCTAATCCAGGTGGATGACTTGATGAGTGTGTGGTGCAGGGTTTCCAAATCGGGTAGGTGCTGCTAAGTGCTAAGCCCTTGTCTCTTGTAGGTTTTTGGTGTTCTCTGACTTAGGACGAAGTCTTCAGTCAGTCCTGAATGATGGCTTACACCTGCTGAGGGAGAAGGCAGCTTTTCAGATTGTAGTCCGGCTGGTAGGTAGAGAACTGATACTTTCTAAGAGACTTTTTCAGAAAATAGGTATTTATTTCTATCTATAACTGTCTTGTGGATCTTTCAGAGATGTTCTAAAGCTCATCCAGAGGGTTGCTTGGGGGTTCTAGGTAGCATCTCTCAAGCCTGTTGTAAGCTTTAGTAGCATCTTTTAGCAATATGCCACCTTGAAGGAATTTGGGGTAAGGAGAATGAAAGAAACCTGACTCTTGAAAATTAGAGGCCGTGAGCTGTGGTGCTTGTTGTGCTCTTCTGCACAGCTGTGGGGAGCTGGGGAGGGGTCCAGTTCAGTGACAGCCAGGATACTGGGGGAGCCTGTGTGGTTCTGATGTGCTTGCCTCTCCTGTTCGCTCCTAGCTAGACTGCCTGGAGTACATCCATGAAAATGAGTACGTGCATGGGGACATCACAGCTGAGAACATCTATCTGAACCCAGCAGACCTCACTCAGGTAGGGAGCTGGAGCAGTGCTGCGAGGAAATGGCAGTGAAGGTTGGCTTGTGAAGTGGGACAGAGCAACACCCAGGTGGCCAGGGGAGCAGTGCAGTCTGTGCCATGGTGCAGGGTTGCAGGCTACACTGGATGCAGACTTCACCCCTGAAGGAGTGGTCAGGGTGCCTTAGATGTCACCTGGAATCTGCCATAAGGAGCTCTGCCTTTCTCTGGGGGGGAGTTTCAGGCTTCTGAGTGACGGAGGCAGGATAAAGGTACAGCCTGTGGACTCGGCTCTGGGCAGTAACACTCAGATATGTGCTTCTTGATGTCTTCTAGGTGACCCTGGCAGGCTATTGCTTTGCGTTCCGTTACTGCCCAGGGGGGAAGCACGTGGCTCAGCGGGACGGCAGCAGGACCCCTCATGAAGGCACGATAGAGTTTATCAGCCTGGACAGCCACAGGGGAGCAGGTGGGTCTCTGTTTGTGACACAAGCCAGCCAAGCTCAGCAGAGCTGTTACTGTGGCAGTGCTGTCTGGAGCTGGAGCTCCCTGCTGGCCCTTCTGTTACTGCTACTTTCCGGGTGTTCACATGCCCCTGGAACCAAGTTCCTATTTGGGCTGTTTCCTCTTTGCTTCATTCTGTGCTGCTGTGTTGGGACTTGCCAGGTCGCTCAGTGACTGCAGCGAGAGGTGCAGGGATGTTCTTCCTCCGTCGGGAGCCTTGGCTACTGCAGGCGTGTGAGGAATAGAAAACAGGGCTGCTTCCTGCTGGCTTAGCAGGCATCTGTTTCAAGCCAGACTGGGTCTCTGCCCAAAACAGATTTGCAGCAGGCTCTGCTCTGACCTTGCAGCAATGAGAGCGGGAAAGGCATTTAAATCAGCTAATTCTTCTCTTGGTTGGGATGTGACTGTTCCCTCCCAGTGCTCAGGCTGGGCAAATCTTCCTCCAGAAGCTGGGAGGTGATTCCTCAGCCCTGTGAGCTGGCAGGCTCCCAGGAGGATTGACATCCCTAGAGCACATCTTAGTGAAGCTCTTGCATTTCTTTCGTCAAGCTCTTTAGACTTGTGCCCCTTCCTGAGGCTGCCTGTTTTACAGAAGGGGCACCTCAAACAGGGACTGCCAAGTTTGTGCTGGAGTCCTTCCTCACCTTCTCTTCTGAGATGGCTCCCAAACTCTTGTTTTTTCACACGTGAATGTCTCTTCCTTCCCATCAGGACCATCTCGCCGGAGTGACTTGGAATCTCTAGGCTACTGTCTTCTGAAATGGCTCTGTGGCTTCTTGCCTTGGTCTGATGAGCTGGACAAAGTAGAAACTGTGGTGGAGAAGAAGGAAAAGTAGGAGAAATCATCTACTCTTTTGGGAAATGCTCGGCAGAAAGCAGTGAGGGAGGTTTTGTGACTGAAGAGAAATCCCTCAGTCATAGTACGCTGTTGGGATGTGGGTAGATCCCACTGTAAAGGCTGAGCCTGGCCAAGGGGTGGCTGATGAACCCCGAGTTCTGCTCCGTTCAGGACGTGGCCATCTGAATTCAGCCTCTTGTTTTTTGGCCCTGTTGCCAAAGACAGGCTGTTGAGGCGCCTGCTCCATTGCTTCTCCTCTGACAGTGCTCTGCACTGATTATTCCAGGTACAAAGGGGATGTGAAATGCCTTCTGCGACTGTGCTTCAGGCAGAGATCCATTCCAGGTATGGTCTTGCTCTCTGTGATGGTGGGACTTGGGGAAGGATCGACTGTACCTGAAGCTAGAACCTTCTCTGCACTGGGGTGCAGGTCCAGGAAGGCTTCTGCTGGTGACAGTGACCAAGCTGGACTGTTGACAGGTTGCTCCTGTGAACCAGTCCCTTGTTTGCAGCAAAACAAGGAGAGCTGCTCCCCACTTGCGGTGTTCCTGAGCCTTGCTGAAAAGGCAAGTGTCCTGGTGGCTTTAAAAATGCAACACGTGGGGCTAGAGGTCGTTTCCCTGTCCTGTCCTTGAGCTTCACACTAGGCTTTGGTTTGGTTTTCCCTCTCTGCAGCTGCCCAGGGCAGGTGGGTGACCTGTCCACAGGGAAAGCAGCCGGAGGTGACCATGGGGCAGCTTGGGAAGGACAACCAGGGTCCTGTGCTGCCCCGTGCAGTGATGTTCCTTGCTTTGCAGATGCCCTGCAGAGCTACCTGCAGCAAGTATCGGCCCTAGAGTACGAGGAGAAGCCTGACTATGAGGCCCTGCGGCAGCTCTTCAAGAAGCCGCTCGGAAAGAGGAAAGCTTCGGCCTATCGGGATGGTGCCCTAAGTAAGTGCCCGTCGTTCCGACTGCAGCAGCACAGAGCGCCTGTGCCCCTGCACAGCGCTGCTGACCTGCTCCACGGGCCCGGGGTGCTGCAGGCAGGAGGTGAGGACAGAGCAGGGTGGGCTGGGAAACCTCTCCCGGACAGACCTGGGATGTGTGGAGGGAGCACCAGCCCTCCGGCCTTCCCTGTCGAGACATCAGTCCGGTGCTACACAAAGCCAGGCTTAGCCTGTTTTTACAGCGTTATGTTTCCTCTATTTTTTCTGGAAATACTTGTCCTTGGGGGAATATAAGGGTCAAAGCAACAGCTGAACAGTCTGCAGGGGTGTGGAGTTGCTAACAAAATGCAGACTTAAGCAATTTGGTCCTTTTTTCTCTCTTTTTTTTTTTTTAATAACTGAGGCTCTGGGCTGTAGTTTTTGCTTTTCCTTTCCAGAAAGCAGCTTCCAGCTCTGGTTTTAACACCTCAGACCTGTGGCAGTAAGTGGTGGTGGCTCTCCAGGCCCAGGTGCTCTGTTTTATCCATGAGGCACCTCCAAGATTGAGGCTCGGTACAGAGACAGGTCTGGTTTGAGCCCAGGGCTCAAAGGGCAGCTCTGGTTTGAGCCCAGGGCAGCCAAGGCCATTGGATTAAGCAGCAAGCCCAAGAACACGGAGCTACTGCCTCACCACCTAATTTTCCTGGGAAGGAATTGAACTACTGAACGTTCCCGTCTTGTGCCTTTTCTTTCAGATCAAGAAAACCTGCGCAGGAACAGAGTTCCAAGCTTTCTGCAGTGTGAGGCCTTTCCCACAGATATTTAACTGGTACCTGTTTTAGAACTGAGAGAGGTTTTTATTTTTTATAAGTGTTTTCTTCTGATTTTAATGTGACTTACTGCTGAATTTTGAGCCCCTGCTGTTAACAAGTGAATGTGAAGACACTCCTGCATGGCAAGGCATGGCAAGCAGCAGCTGGAGAACTGTGAAGAGTGAAGCCTGGCACAGAAGAACATTTCAGGGACGACTTTTTTTTTTTTTAACCCACAGTGGCAATACATAGTTTTGTAATAAACTTTGTGGTTATTTGGCATGTTCAAGGCCTTTCTGGGGCTGCTGTAGAGGCGTGAGGGGGGTTTGAGCCCCCTGCTACACAGGGTGTTCTCCCCCCACTGCTCATGATATTGATGTAAATAACCTCCTTAGCCACAGAGCTAAACTCCGACTTCATCCCCAAACATCCCATCACTTTTCCAAGCCCCAGGTGAAATACCAGCCATTGAAGAAAGACAGGGAGCCACCTAAATTAAAAAAGTTTTATAAAAAGTTGCTACACTGTGTATCTGAAGGGTTGCCATCTGCCACAGTAACTTCTACACAAAGGGGGGAGGAGTCATGGAGTCCAGTTCCAGTGTTAAAGGCAGTGATGTCTCCTGGAAGCCGTGTACCTTGGTATTGCAGTGCTCAGTACCTGTTTGTAAACAAAAGGCTGTTCTCCTGGCATTCACAGGCTGAAGGAGCTTTATCCCAGGCTTGCCACGCTGAGGTCAGTGCAGGTGGTTTCTTCAAATTGGTACTGAAGCAGCACAGATTTCATTTTCGATGAGAAGCATACGCTATCCTCGCGGATTAGGCTTAAATTAGGGCTTTCACCATGACAAACTGTCTGCCCTTATTGCATTGCTGCCTGTTCCTAGTGTTCAAGTGGTTTGTGCTTTCTTTGAGGACGCACCAGTGGAAGTGGCAAGGAAGACGGTGCGAGGCAGGAAATGAAATGGAGGTGGCAGTCCAACCACGCTGTCCCAGCACAGACTAACAGTTCACAGATCACATTACCATCGTACTGGGCAGTGAAGCATTAAGGCACAGAAAGAGGATTTTTCAGGTGAGGGAAAGATGGCAGCTAGAGCCTGAGGCAAATGGAGTTAAAAACCATCTGAGAGGTAGATAAAAAGAGAAGCTCAGACCTGCAGTGAGCCTTCATTTACCTCAGTGCAGCAAACAGTATGTACATAGGGGAGGGACAAACCAGCTGGATGAGGCAGTACCTGGCCAGAATGAAAAGGCAGCACAACCTTAAAAACGTCTTTCAAGTGGAAAAATTCAAGCATAGTGTTACATCCAGTAACTTAAGAACAAAAATTCTTTTCTTTTATAGTGCCAGGCCTCACAGCAGAACAAACACAAATTCTTTTCTATAACTAAGGAGAAACTGGTGAGGTATGACAACAAACAGCTAGATGTAGAGAAGAATTTGCAGAGGATACTTTAAAAAGGCAGCTATGAAGGAAGAAAATGGCCTAGAAGTGAGCTACAGAATTACAAGACAGATAGATAAAGTTGTGGGGAAGGGGTTTTTTTTTTTGGAGGTATTAACAATTATTCACTATCATCCCTGTACAACTACAACAGAAATACTATTTCCAGGAATCCTAAAAAAAGGAAAGAGCATGAGGAATATCAGAGGCTTAAAAAGCCCAAGTTCATCCTTTCTTCACCGTGTTCTGCAGGATGTTTTCGCTTGAGCTGCCTTCTGTCACGCCTGCCCTCGCTCAGCCTAGCACAGCCTGGCTGTAAACCCGACTGGAAGTGAGGCAGGCCCGGCTCCTTGTTCGTGGTGCTGCCAGGAGGTGGTGCTGAGGTAGGTTTGAGGGGTTCTCCAAGGCCACCTTCTGCAGACGAGGTGGAACTGGCACTGTTGACAGAAGCATAGCCTGAGCTCCCTTCCGGGTTGGGATTTCTTGAGGTGAGAGATGCTGAAAGGCTGCAAGCGTCATCTGGCAGCTTGGCCTCCTTCTGTGGGGCCACCTGCGCAGCCCACCCCACAGCGAGGTTGTCCTCATCGCTGGAGTCCAGGCAGCAGTGCTCCGCTGGGTCCATATAGACCACTGCCATGTCCAGGATCCCACTGGGACCCGTCACTGTGGGATGAGAGAAGGAAAACGGTTAGTTTTGGCTTGGGCAGCACCAAGCAGGCATTCAGTACAGACTCAGACAGAAAAAAAAAAAATAAGGAAGAGCATAAACCTCATGTCTGCTCACACACAGAGGAGAAGGCAGAGCACTAAGTTTACCCTCATTTAAACCAGTAACTTCCCACCCCAGACTTTTGGATAGGTACTAAGAGCTGTTTGGAAAAAGAACAGCCAGTCCCAGTGTCAGCAAAACACACGGATAATGGTGTTTCTAACACGATGGGCCATTCATCACGTGTGGCCCACAATCAGCAGTGTTTGAACAGTCACACTTGGAATTGCTAAGCAGCCACAAAATCCTTCCTCATCTTCTGAAGCAATACAGAGAAAGAGAATAGATATATACCTCTAAAACAGTTTAACAATTACAACCACTGGGGAAGGGGGAGAGTTTTTCCAACTGGTCTTCATCTTAAGTTCAGGCTTCTGATGCCTGAGAAACAGTTTCAAGCAAAGATGAAAAGACAGTTTTAGTTCTCTTGTCTGCTTTTTATAAGGAGAAAAAAAAACCCCTCACCTTCTCCATCTCTCTCGCCTTCGCTTTCCTGATCACCTTCATAACCAGAGCAGGAATCTAAACTCCAGTCTAAGAAGTTGTCTAAAAGACTTTCTTCCTGGGTGGATAGCTCTGCTGTGGGTGTAGTCACAAAGCTGCCTCTGTCATCCTGAATGCTGTCTTCCCTCCTCCTGGAGAAAGGAAATCCAGAAGTCACATTAAAAGCCAAGTCTGCTTTTGCAGCTCTTTTAAGAGGATTACAGAAAAACTGATTTAAGAATGGAACCTCGGGATACCAGAGAGGAGGAGAGGCTCATGCCAGTCCTCGAAGACACTCACAGCAGTGAGCTATACTGGCCTTTTAGTTCTCTGTCCAGAGGGAGAGCTAAGGAAAGTCTGAATTTCCACATTCGTGTGCAAGGGAGTGGGCTCCGGGTCCTCCTGTTTCACACCCAACAAGGAACAGAGCTGGCTGTAACTTATCACCTGAAAAACAAAAAGCCAGTAAGAATTCAACTATGCAATTCCCTCTGCCAGCAGGCTATTCCTCTTTATTTTCTAGGAGAGACCTATCCTGATCGGTTCTTCCCACACGTGCTCAACCAGAGCAAGTACAGTCCCTGCAGATTCAGTTTAAAGCACCCACTTTTTTTTTTAGACACTCCTCCAAAAGTCTAAATTTCAAGTCAGAACCCACTTCCCATTGTTTGAAGTTGACCACATCCTGCCACACGGCAGCTTTGCCGTGGGTGCAGACCTCAGCAAAAGGAGACAGAGCTCACCCACCTTCTCCTTGCCTATTTCATCATAACGCTCGTCTTCGAATCGTTGTTTCACCGCAGTTAAGGACACCTGCCTATAATCCTTTGGGACATTGTTGTGGAAACTGGAAAGAAAGATTAAAGCCCCAGTCTTAGAACAGATTATAAGAAACGACATCAACAAAACCTGCCAATTTAAGTACCTTCCCTCTGTCCAGCTCAGCTCTGAGCTAAGGAATTTGGCGTTTCTGCGGAGCTGCTATGCAGCAGGCCAGGACACGTGGTTTCTAAGCATGAGCTTCTAATTCCTTTTCTGTTCCTCGAGGTAAACAAGACACTTGTCTTGTACTCTTTTAAAAAATGAGCTACTTTTGCTACTGGAACTCCTTCTGAAGCTCACCAATAAGCCAGTCACAGCCTTCTGAAAATAGTGCTGTTTGGCAAGCTGAAACCTGTTAGCCTTGAGGAACACCACGTTTTCTGTAACCCAGGGCCACCACTGGTTGGGAGAGACAGAATAGCTGTCCCTGAACTGGCCCCTAAGCCGTAGTGCCTTGTGGTGGGGGGAGCAAGACAGTTTCCCAAAGCCACGCCCTTCATTGAAGGACTGCATAGATGCCGCACGCCTACAAGAGCTGGAATGCGAGTACCCAAAATTGCCCTCCCAAAACAGTTCCAAAACAATTACCAGTTTTGGTGGAGGCTTAGCACACAGGGCAATAGGTCTTCAAGAGAGAAACCGGTACACTCAAACAGCTGCCTGGTCCAGGGGTGTGCTGAGGAACAAAATACATGTTACCATTTCATGAAGCTCAGTAGTTCTGTACTCAGATGGATTTTTGTTTTGGGGGGGAGGGGCAGGATAAAGATCATGATCTCTATGAGCCTATGCCTGCAGATAGTTCATTCAAGTTCACAACTAGCTTCAAGGATAAGTATACCTTCAGTTTGGTGGGTAAACCTAAGTACAAAAATCTTCAGTCCCATTTAAAACCAAAGCTTGCATAGTCTGGTGCTAATACTCTTGTTCATCATAGCGATTAAGAGGTAAAACAGACTGAACTCAACTCTTCCTTCTGAAGTCTTACACCTGTCCTGCTCTTCCCTCTCAAGGGATTGGGACATCTTGCCTAAAGACAAACAAAACCCACCAAAACAACCCCAAAGGCTCTCTAAAAAGAGAAGGCAGACTGACATACCGCGCTGCAGCTGCACTTACGGTACGGTTCCTTACCTTGCCTGTGTAGTATCTTAGCCAGCAGCAGTGCTGCAGCAGCCAGCCGAGCTGGGGAATACACACAGAGGCTTGTGTTCAGGAGTGACAGTTCACAAATGAAGCTGTAGAGGTGAAGAGTTCTTCTCTCCAGCGAGACTATGCTTGACAATACTTCTTTGTAGTCCACAACGGTAGGTATCTAGTGCATAAGGAAGAACAGAGGTTGGCCATACAAGTCAAGCACCAAGTATTTAGAACATGGTTGTGACCAGGAGATGACATTTCATGACATTAGGGCTTTTTTGGTTGGTTGGTTTCTTAACTGCTGCTCTGACATTGAAAGGGTTCTTCAGTGAAAGAGTAAATGGCCTCTTGAA